TTGTTTTATGAATGATCTTGTCTACTACTTCAGTATATATGACTATAGTATTAAATTTTTCCGAAACCATTAGAGGCTATGAGGAATTTATTTTGAGACGTAGCTTTTGCGATATGTTAAAACATATAAATTTCATGATGCTATATCTCACCCACTGCGGGACTGAGGACAATTCTATTAATATTGGAAGTTGAGGACTACTAATACTAATATTTGGTTTTGACAAAATGACTGGCACGGATTTTTTTCATATTAAATTTGATTGTCGAACTTGAAGAAAATGACTACATTTTTTACTTCATTTTTCCAATAAAATCATTCATTGCATGGATTACTAGGCCAGATAATGCCCCAAGCAACCGACCTCCTGCAACCCTGTGTTGGGCCGGTCCAGATGATTCATTCGGGAGTTCCACAAGGATCAGTCCTTTTGGACAACTATGCAGATGATACACAGCTGATCGCAAATTATTCCCTTTCAAAAACTGTTCCATCCCCTAATTGTACACATGACATTAAGGCATAGAACTAGAATACTAGTTCTAAGATTAAAGATAGGATGGCAAGAAATATGTTGAAATTGAATTTAATTGAATTAATTAAATCAGAATGTATGTTATGTGGTGCAAATACACATCTACAAAAATACAAGTTCAAATGTTATGGTTGTACGAGATGCAATATTTGTACCATGAGACACTCTGAAGAAGTTAGGTGTCCTCTTAGGGTCCAATTTGAGCATGTAGTCACATTAGTGGAATTTTTCGAAACTGTTATCTTCGATCCAGGAACATTGGCCAGGAAGCAGTTGCTACACTTTTATGTTCTTTGGTATTCTCAAGGATTGACTACTGTAACAGCCTGTTAGTAGAAACATCTAGTGCCAATATTAAAAAAATCAACTTGTACAAAATACCGCAGCTCGAATTCTTACCAGATCACCAAAATACTCTCATATTATTCCTTTTCTGTAATCACTCCATTGACTGCCAATTTATGAAAGAATCATCTTCAAAAGTCTGTCTTTGACGTATCAGTGTGTGAATGGCTTAGCTCAAATATACTTATCTAACCTTATGCAAATACAAGTTCCCTCGCGTAACCTCCGGCCGAACAAACCGTCATCATTTGCTCAAGGTGCAAATTAAAATGATTTGGATACGGATCGTGATCAGTGAATGCGCCTAAACTGCGGAACAATCTTCCAGAGATAATTAAATCATCATTAAATCCTTTCTTGTTTTACATCAAGATTTAAAACTCATCTTGTTATCAGGATTAATTAAATTAATTTAATTGTATGTGCAGTGGACATGCCTCTGTACATGTATTACGCGCGCCATATAAATCAGCTGTTCATTTCCCCGTCTTTTGCACAAATAAAATGCGGTTTAGTAGCCAGTTATCCGAAAGAAACTACAATAGCATATTCCTGAAGCAATAGCCCGAGAAATACCGCTCTGGCCATTGCTGGATTGACTTCTAATACTTATGTTTTTTGGGGAGTGTGTCTATTCTTCCCGTTCAATCAAATCGTCTTTCGTTTTATCTGGGGTCTTCCCTAAAATTTTGGAGAGTGAAAGGGTGAAAGTATTGTTCGTCTCCAAACAGTATTGTTTGCATTGTAGCCATTTTGATAGCCTCGTTTATCGCGCAATCAGTTTTTCTGCAATATTCTGCCATGCACTGGTTAATTGGACGTAATAAATTTCGTGAATCATGACCTAACGTTATGTAAACATATTTGGAGCTCTGTTTAAACTCGAATGATATTGTTACGCAGTTAGGTATTGGCTGTTGATCGGACTATTGACCAGTCATAATTTGGAAAAGAAATTTGCTTTCATTACGGCAGTGTTGAGTGGGATTAGGTCTCATCAAACGAAACACTGCGCGGAGTATTCTACAATAGTGACCCTACTCTCATATACTATTTGTTTTTGTCTTTTTGAAATATCGCTTGATTCGTTTGTCAAGTATAGACAGATGTACATGACTACTACACTATTTAGTTTTTACGATTTGCTGTTCCAAAATTCATCATCCTTCTACTAGATCATGAGATTATATTGCCGAATTAATAAAATGTTGAAAAATAGTCTAGAGAGGTTAATTGTATTTACCAAGAACAGCTCTTTTGGCATTTACAGTAAATTAAGCTTTTAAAAATTTTAACGGTGTAATTGTGAGCTCTGTTTTCGTGATTAGATACTTATTAGACAGATAAACAGATAGATATTTTGGTACCTTACAACACTAAGTCTCTATACCAAAGACCGCTCAACGTAAGTCCATCAAACTTTCAGAATGTATACTTACTAACCATATCTGCTACCCTATAAAGCTTCATTAATCTACTCGCCGTAGTTTAGTTGTAAGCCATAATTGAAAAGTGGCCGAAAAATGATGATTTTTTTCGGTCTTAAAATCTCAAATATTTTTCTACACTCTAAAAATGGTTCGATTGATCTAAAATTGTGGCAGTGGGGTTTGGAGGGGTTACCCATCATATATAAATTCAAATGGTGAAAATCGATCACCCACCATGTGCCGGTCCCTGCATGGTTCTCTCGCAAACGGATTCTTAAAAGTTGTGAAAGTTGAATCCCAAAACGGAATATCAATTTTATAAATGATTCATTTAGTTTCAGTAATTGTAAAATGCAAAAATCGCTCAATTCGGTAGCTTTTGCCGACAATAAAAACTTTGTAAACTAAAAACGAACAAAAGAAAAACGTCCACAAATGTGATCAAAACGTACCTAAATATAAATAACTGGATTCTTATAAAATAATAAATATTAACCGATCGTTTAGATATTTTATGGACATTATAGACAAGGGACATGAAAAATAATATCATTTATTTTTTTTTAAATATTCACACAAGTCCATTTTAATATAATTTTTTTTTTATAATTTTCACCCAAGTCAATTTTAATTTCCACCCAAGTCATTTGTAACATAATTTTTTTTTATACTTTCACCAAAGTCATTTGTAATATAATTTATTTTTTTTTGATAATTTTCATCGATGTCAATTTTAATTTCCATCCAAGTCATTTGTAATATTATTTGTTTTTTAGAATTTTCACCCAAATTAATTTTAATATAATTTGTTTTTCATAATTTGCACCCAAGTCATTTGTAATATAATTTAATATTCACCCAAGTCAATTTTAATAGTATTTTCACCTATGTCGATTTTAATTTCTAGCCAAGTCATTTCTAATATAATTTGTTTTTCAGAATTTCCACCCAAGTCAATTTTAATATATTTTTTTTTTAAAAAAAAATCTTTGTGGTGGGAAAATAAACGTGAAACGCATTGAAATGAAATGAAATAGGGTTTAACGTCCTACTGTTCTACCCCGACTGGGCTAATGAATGCAATATGCAAGTAAGGAAATTTTGCTCTGACATATGAAATTTCAACTGTCAAGAGTTATTTTACATGCACGCCAATGTGTACTAGGGATCTGGGTATTGATATCAGTATGCACCCAACATCCAGGCATCGAATTCAGCGCACAGTGTGTTGAAAAGGGATAACAAAAACAACGTGGCCTATGTGCACTAGTGAATGATGGGTCACACGCATGGACACAAACACAGAGAGTCTTGTCTTGAAGACAAAGGGCCCTATTTATTACTGGACACAGAGGGTGCCTTTTCTTGAACGTGGGGCACTTCAACTGGATTTGGTGCTTCCTTTAAGTTTAATTTTTAGAGATTTTCACAAAATTCGTTTATATCACTTTCCAATATATTAACATGTATATGGCAAATTTTGGGCATAACACAAACTAAGTCAATTCATGACTATCATATGATTCTTACACCATTTCAATAGTCAGTTTGGGCGTACAAGTCTTTAGTATTAGGGGCGGGGAAACTGGAGTACCCGGATAAAACCCACAAGGTTGGACAAACCATGTCACGCACGAGCGGGAAATCGAAACAACACCACTTGAAGTGTGATGCCATGTTACCTATTCACCCCCCCCCCCCGTTTCAATTCTGAAAATTTAAGATAAGAATCACGCGACGTATAGGAGTCAAACAAGTTATCTGCTTAGTATGGTATTTGATGTTAGGATTTTTTAAAATTGTTTACCACGGTCGTCAAGTTAGATCAAAATAGTATTCATATTGAATACAATAACATTCAAAAGAGAAATCTATGTAGGACTCGACGACTGGTATACGTGTAATCTTAGAGTTACTCCGATAGAATGCACTGACATGTATCATAATAGGAGATCATTTTAACAAATATAACGCTGACATGTATAGCGCGGTTTCTTGGCGTTTGTGGTTAACTTTTATACAAGTGAAATGAAATGGGGAATAACGTCCTGCTTGGCTAATGAAAACAGGCATACGCAATACAGTATGCTGTGAGGGAAATGTTGCCCCGACATCGGCGCAGTACAGCCAATATCAGTGTTAATAATACATAAATAAGTGTAATTAATATTGATATATCTACACATGAGTAAAATAAATGAAATATCTTCAGTTTCTTCTTTACAATTAAGAAGGACATAAAGTGTCACCAGTTTTAATTAATTTTTCCTTGATCCAGATAACATAATGTGGTATTTTAAAATCAATGTTGATATGTTTGGGGTCTTCTTCACATTCACTTTTTTAATAACAATGCGGGCACATAATTATGGTTTTATAATCATTTGGTGTTAATAAATTGTCATCCATTTTAAACATGTATTCGGGAACATAATCAAGATTTGAATGATTATTTATTAAGTCTTTCCAAATGTGTGGTATTGCTGCTTGGGCTATATTATACGGTCTCCATACCATATAAGGGTTTATTTCTGAATATAAATCCCGTTTTCATTAGCCCAGTTTAGGAGCAGAACAGTAGGATGTTAAACCCCATTTCATTTCATTTAATTTCTGAATATAAATACTGACTATTCATAGATATTCTATTATAACGACAAGCACGGAAGTATTTAAATAGAACAACCAAGTCTCTCAAATCTTCGTTACAGGTTGGATATAGTTCAGCATTATACCTGAGACACCGGTAAGTATGTACTTACTATAGTCTGGAATAATGTGATTTTAAATGTTTGTGATACGATATTACGATTTTATTTTTATGTCGGAAAATATTCTCCATTTAGCTGTTACGGAAATACGACCCTGGATAACTTTCAATCTGGTTGCAGGGGTAATGCGAAAGCCTTCTTTCAACTCTTTATCTATAGAAGATGACTGGCCTTTAATGTCACATGCATTATATGTCTACTTGTGACGTCACATCATACGGCGTCGATAGCGCATGCGTTGTTTACATCGGACGTAGTCTAACACAATCTGGTAGGAGGAGAATTTGTGTCTTTTACTTATTTTACGCCTTCGCGTACAATTTTATGTAGGCCTACCTACTGGCCGATGACCCGGCGCTGCACGGGTTGAATGTAGTACAACTCTGAAACCGAACGCAGTAGCCTCGGACGTAGTCTTACATCGGACGTAGTCTAACACAATCGGGTAGGAGGAGAATTTGTGTCTTTACTTATTTTACGCCTTCGCGTACAATTTTATGTAGGCCTACCTACTGGCCGATGACCCGGCGCTGCACGGGTTGAATGTAGTACAACTCTGAAACCGAACGGAGTAGCCTCGGACGTAGTCTTACATCGGACGTAGTCTAACACAATCGGGTAGGAGGAGAATTTGTGTCTTTTACTTATTTTACGCCTTCGCGTACAATTTTATGTAGGCCTACCTACTGGCCAATGACCCGGCGCTGCACGGGTTGAATGTAGTACAACTCTGAAACCGAACGCAGTAGCCTCGGGACAACCATAGCGTATCCGACAACCCGGAACAGACAGACAGACAAGGCAGACAAACAAACGACAGTCACAAATATTAGTATAGATTTACACTAAATAGAAAATATTTTTTTCAAGATATATTCACAACACATTTTTCTTAACAATTCAAAATAAATGTTTTAGAATTTAATTTGCAGAAGAAAAATAAATAATATAGAGAGCTAATCAACTCTTCCAAATGTCTCCCCTTTCACTGATTGGAGCGGCCAAGCGAATGTGTATTGCTGATCAGCTTGTAAGTTTAGTTGTAACGGAAATTATTTCCTTTAAATCCAATAGCTCTGCTTGTGTGCAGTGGTCTATTTCGTCAGTTACCAGCATGTGAGCCTTGCTTGGACTACTGTGTGGTTTATCGAAACATTATTTAGACTGGGTTTATTGTCAAAATTGTTAAAACTGAAACGAAATATTGAGTAGAATTTTTGTGAAATAATTTCTAGTTCGATTACTATTAGAACCGGATATTGGACTGACAGTTCTCACTATTTGCAATTTCCAGGGAATATTCGATCTGTAGAAAAGAGGGCGTATCAACATACATTATATTGAAGCACCTCCATGGCTTACGCTACACTAAATGAACATCAACGACGACAGTAAGTACATGTGACGTCATTAACTACGTCATTTATGATATTACAAAACAAGACAATATTAAAGCTTTTGGTAAAAGGGACATTTACAAGACACTGATGTCAATTCCATATAGTTTGGATGATAACTTCTGTCGCTAGAGCATTTCACAGGGTTCTACAAAGTGAAACAAGGGTCGTAGCTCTAGAAGTGTTATCAGAATTTGTTGAAATTCAATAACCTTAATCGCTTTACTAATTTAAATAATGCATATCGGAAGATAACCTTTGTCGACAGAATGTTTAGTAGGTTCGACAAAGTGAAACAAGGGCCATAACTCTGGACTGGTGCGTTTGTATTTACCCCCCTTGTACACAATATTTAGAGAATTTTTCACATGATCTGTCTGAAGTAGAATCAACACACAAGTACTGATCGATTTTCCAAAAGGAATCGATCTTACAGCGGCACTTTAACCTAGCACTGATACGTACACGTAAATTCGTATGACTCAATTCATATTTTTATTTTCCAGGTTGCTTGAACGAATCCGACAACTTGAAGCCGATTTTGCTAGGTTTGTTAATCGTCGACAAGCTACAGTAGCCACATTGTTGGAACTGGCCGATGAATTAAACTCAAGCAAACGCAAGGTCAGGATCAGTAAAATATCCGGTGCCGTTGGTGGAGTAGTTTCAGCAGGTTTAACAATTGCTGGATTGGCAACGATACCCCTATTTGGAGTTGGCGTTGTTTTAACAGCGGCGGGGGCTGGCGTGGGAGTTCTATCTGGTGTCACAAGTGCTGGAGCTGCCATAGGCGATATTGTAGTTAGTAAAAACACAAGAATGAAATGCAACAAAGTGCTCGAGGCAGATAACCAGGCTGTACTGGATTATCAAAATGCAATGGAGGGTTTTAGATTATTTATTCATTCCATAAGAGGCGTGGCTCCTATTGGTAGCGTAGTAACGGCGGGAATTCAATTAGTCAGATTGGTGGACGTGCTCTTGGATGCATCTGGAGCCACACTTAGAGGTGTTGGAGCTGCTATTGACGCTGTGCCCATAGTTGGAGCTGTGTTCAACCTAATCACACTCCCCATAGATATTGGTACCCTGATATCCAACGCAAGAGATATCCATAAGTCAACCCCTCATCAGGTAGCAGCACGTATCACCGAGGTAGCTCAGCAGTTGAAAGACCAACTTAGAGAGCTACAGCTAAGACATGACAAGGAAATGGAAGAACTACTAGATGCTCTTCTAAGACATAACGAGCAAATGGAAAAATTGAAATGTGCTGTTTTACATGCAGGTCGAGAAATTCCTGTTTATATTTTTGTAATTGTTGTACTTGCGATTATGATTTTGGATTTATTCTGGTTCAAGGGGCCTGATGGCCCCCCGCTGTTGCCCTATGACCTTCCGAAGCTTCCTTTCAAATAGAGGGTTATCAATTTATTGATGTAGCCCACTTAAAACCAGATATCATCATTTTCATACGATCAGCAGTTTTAACAATAAACGATTCTAACTATATCATACACAGAACTTTGTTTTATGAAAGGGTATAGCTGCTAATAAGTCACGTCATGTGGAGAACGTAACACATCCCAATTACAATTTCTACATAACAACTTTGAAACTCGTGCGACGTCATTCTTTTGCGTCAGGTATATTATGCTATGTAACACTACAGATAGCAGAAGATCAGCATAATTGATAAGAGCTTAATTCGGTTTGGTCCACATTTTGTTGCTTCCGCCAAAATCTCGGTGGAAAGTCGTGTTAAGCCGCATTCCGCCCGAAAAACGGTCGGGAAAGGATGATCGCACGTCATCGCCCAAGGTATGGATCGAAAGCTGACATACTTTTTTCGTCAAGTCGCACGTACCAATCGAGCAAACGCCCTTTCCGCGCCAAATTTCCTCCCATCCCGCTCCCCGCGGCCTTTCCGCGTTCCCCACTGCCAAAAACACGACTCCCATTGCCTTCAAAATTTCTCAGGGGGGTAGGGCATAGGGTAGAGTAAATTCTGATAGAATTTGGAGACAATCGAACCACGGGTCTTTGACTGACAGACCGAAAACCGCCGAAAAACCCGGTTTTTGAGCTATTGCTCGGTCTTTGTGGCGCTGCTGTGGCCAAAATATTATAAAGAATAGCACGCGCATGCCAGGTCTCGATCGGGACATCCTTCGACAACGATTTCCACCAGCATTGATCTTTGTGAGGCCATCGGTGCCTTGGCTGCATGTCCGTATTTGCCGAAAGATAAACCTTTCACGGTCACGTAACTGCCCTTCGCTCGCATTTGGCGCTGGATTTCAAGCGGTTGCACTCTTCCTGGCCTCTCGTGCGACGTCTCTGTGAAATTGTACGGTCTTCAGCTTTTCGATCGTATAATTCCCAAAACCCTGCCAATTCTCATTCCAGAGATAATGGCCCCGGAACTTGCTCAGACGGCTCAGGTGATGGGTGGAAAAGGCAAAGAAGCCGAAACCTGGCGCAAATTCGTGCCGCACAGCGGCTTCTCTGGTGTTTCCGCCGCCGCTGCCCATCCAAAAACTCGCGACTCGCGGCTCGAATCGCCTTCCAATTTCTCAGGTGTCTGGGATATAGGTTGGAGTACATTGTGGCGACTTTGGAGGTAATTTCACGGGGTTTTCGACTGGGCGACCAAAAGCGGCCGAATAAACCCGTTCTCGCGATTTTGCTGTGGTGCTGCTGTGGCCAAAATGGTTTATACAATGCCACGTGCATGGCAGGTCTCGATCGTGACATCCTTCGGCACAAGCATTGATCTTTGTGAGGCTATCCGTGCCTTGGCTGCATGTCTGTATTTGACGAAAAATAAACCTTTTAGGGTCCCGTAACTGCCCTTCGCTCGCTTGGCGCTGGATTTCAAGCGGTTGCACTCTTCCTGGCCTCTCGTGCGACGTCTCTGTGAAATTGTACGGTCTTCAGCTGTTCGATCGTATAATTCCCAAAACCCTGCCAATTCTCATTCCAGAGATAATGGCCCCGGAACTTGCTCAGACGGCTCAGGTGATGGGTGGAAAAGGCAAAGAAGCCGAAACCTGGCGCAAATTCGTGCCGCACAGCGGCTTCTCTGGTGTTTCCGCCGCCGCTGCCCATCCAAAAACTCGCGACTCGCGGCTCGAATCGCCTTCCAATTTCTCAGGTGTCTGGGATATAGGTTGGAGTACATTGTGGCGACTTTGGAGGTAATTTCACGGGGTTTTCGACTGGGCGACCTAAAGCGGCCGAATAAACCCGTTCTCGCGATTTTGCTGTGGTGCTGCTGTGGCCAAAATGGTTTATACAATGCCACGTGCATGGCAGGTCTCGATCGTGACATCCTTCGGCACAAGCATTGATCTTTGTGAGGCTATCCGTGCCTTGGCTGCATGTCTGTATTTGACGAAAAATAAACCTTTTAGGGTCCCGTAACTGCCCTTCGCTCGCTTGGCGCTGGATTTCAAGCGGTTGCACTCTTCCTGGCCTCTCGTGCGACGTCTCTGTGAAATTGTACGGTCTTCAGCTTTTCGATCGTATAATTCCCAAAACCCTGCCAATTCTCATTCCAGAGATAATGGCCCCGGAACTTGCTCAGACGGCTCAGGTGATGGGTGGAAAAGGCAAAGAAGCCGAAACCTGGCGCAAATTCGTGCCGCACAGCGGCTTCTCTGGTGTTTCCGCCGCCGCTGCCCATCCAAAAACTCGCGACTCGCGGCTCGAATCGCCTTCCAATTTCTCAGGTGTCTGGGATATAGGTTGGAGTACATTGTGGCGACTTTGGAGGTAATTTCACGGGGTTTTCGACTGGGCGACCAAAAGCGGCCGAATAAACCCGTTCTCGCGATTTTGCTGTGGTGCTGCTGTGGCCAAAATGGTTTATACAATGCCACGTGCATGGCAGGTCTCGATCGTGACATCCTTCGGCACAAGCATTGATCTTTGTGAGGCTATCCGTGCCTTGGCTGCATGTCTGTATTTGACGAAAAATAAACCTTTTAGGGTCCCGTAACTGCCCTTCGCTCGCTTGGCGCTGGATTTCAAGCGGTTGCACTCTTCCTGGCCTCTCGTGCGACGTCTCTGTGAAATTGTACGGTCTTCAGCTTTTTGATCGTATAATTCCCAAAACCCTGCATATTCTCATTCCAGAGATAATTGCCCCGGAACTTGCTCAGACGGCTCAGGTTATGGGCGGAAAAGGAAAAGAGGCCGAAACCTGAAACAAATTCGTGCCGCACAGCGGCTTCAGTGGTGTTTCCGCCGCCGTTGCCCATCCAAAAACTCGCGACTCGCGGCTCGAATCGCCTTCCATTTTCTCAGGTGGCTGGGCGATAGGATGGTGTACATTGTGGCTGACTTTGGAGGCAATTGCACGAGTTTTCGACTGGGCGACCAAAAACCGCCGAATAAACCCGTTCTCGCGACTTTGCTGTGGTGCTGCTGTGGCTAAAATGGTTTATACAATGCACGTTCATGCCAGGTCTCGATCGAGACATCCTTCGTCAATGTTTTCCACAGACATTGATCTTTGTGGGACCATCGGTGCCTTGGCTGCATGTCCGTATTTGACGAAAAATAAACCTTTTAGGGTCCCGTAACTGCTCTTCGCTCGCATTTGGCGCTGGATTTCAAGCGGTTGCACTCTTCCTGGCCTCTCGTGCGACGTCTCTGTGAAATCGTACGGTCTTCAGCTTTTTGATCGTATAATTCCCAAAACCCTGCATATTCTCAGACGGCTCAGGTGATGGGCGGAAAAGGAAAAGAGGCCCAAACCTGAAACAAATTCGTGCCGCACAGCGGCTTCAGTGGTGTTTCCGCCGCCGCTGTCCATCCAAAAACTCGCGACTCGCGGCTTGAATCGCCTTCCATTTTCTCAGGTGGCTGGGCGATAGGATGGTGTACATTGTGGCTGACTTTGGAGGCAATTGCACGAGTTTTCGACTGGGCGACCAAAAACCGCCGAATAAACCCGTTCTCGCGACTTTGCTGTGGTGCTGCTGTGGCTAAAATGGTTTATACAATGCCACGTGCATGCCAGGTCTCGATCGAGACATCCTTCGTCAATGTTTTCCACAGGCATTGATCTTTGTGGGACCATCGGTGCCTTGGCTGCATGTCCGTATTTGACGAAAAATAAACCTTTTAGGGTCCCGTAACTGCTCTTCGCTCGCATTTGGCGCTGGATTTCAAGCGGTTGCACTCTTCCTGGCCTCTCGTGCGACGTCTCTGTGAAATCGTACGGTCTTCAGCTTTTTGATCGTATAATTCCCAAAACCCTGCATATTCTCATTCCAGAGATAATGGCCCCGGAACTTGCTCAGACGGCTCAGGTGATGGGCGGAAAAGGAAAAGAGGCCGAAACCTGGCACAAATTCGGGAATCAGACGGGAATCAGACCGCTGACACTTGCGTTTTCGCTGTTTTGCGTGTAAACTTGGAATATTTTCCACTTTATTAATATATTTTGGCGAGGCGACAGGCGTATCTTTAAAAACTCATCTCCATTAATTATATTTGTGTGAAAAAAGTCAACTCCAAGGTTAAATTAGGCAATTTATCTTGTCCGCGCACATCAGGTTGAGTAAAAAATCAAATTTGCGCGCATCAACGACCGACTTGGGGCACGCAACCACCCTCCACCTACGGGGGGTGGACCAAAGCCCCACCCCACCCATACCCAATCCAAATTTTCCGACCTTCTGTCAAAAAAAAAAAAATCAAATTTTAGGACATGTCCAGAAAGGGGCGTGGCAATTTTTTTTTTTCTGGGGCTGACCCCCTGAATGGATACCAGACCACCCGAGGGCAGGGCCTTACCCACTCATACTCGTACCCGCCACCCTACGGCACACCAAAGCGCGAAAAACGGAAATTGGGCAACATCTGTAAGGCACAATTGTGAGCAAAGACCTATTGACGGCCATTGAATGGCCTGGGGCGCCAGATAAAGGCCTCTCCACAATTCTGAGCCTCTTCCAGTCAAGTCAAAAGAGGAAGCTCAGAATTGTGCCTGCCATAAAGGGCGGGTCACCCCTCAGAAGACCCAGGGGGGTCAAAACATCGTTTTTAGAGGTGCACGGGTACGGGAAGGTCTTAGGAGCAACAGATTTCGACCAAGGGGCACTTGGGGCATCCTGGGGGCGAGGGGGCGCAAGCTCAAAATTGAGCCTTTTTGATCACTTCTTTTGAAAACTGAGATACCCTGTTGACCTTTATTAAGAACATGAAATAGACACAATTCGGTAGAAGCTCAATTCCATGTCAGACTTACTGTCAATAAACACCTGCTTATATAGTGTTCAACAATTAGGGAAGATGAACAAGGGTGATCATCATATATGGTATTGTTTATTTATCAAATTATGATATCTGTAATTACACTGCATATTTCTTTGGATGTCATTGTCAGGTCATAGTATGATACACTGACCACTACTACATTCTCTTTGAAGTTCTGCCTAGTGTTATAAACATATCATGTGTAGCTTGTAAAGGACATATTGAATTAATTAGTTGTTTAATAAGATCGTAGGCAGTCCGTGCCTCAACCAAGTTTACACAGAGGTGAAACGTCAATATCAAATATTATCAAATCTGAGTTCATGCACCTAAATGATCGTTCAATTTGATGAAAAGTATAAAGATCACTTTGTCACAGCTGAAAAGGGAATCGTTAACTCAACACCAAATAAGACCCCTTAAG